AAGATGATAATCCGAATGGGGTCAAGTCTGGAGAATAGGCGGGTGTGGGAGAACTTCGCATTTAAGCTCCAATAATGTTTCTTTTACCATTTTTGCAACATAAGATCGCGCGTTGTCCCTCAAAAGAATCTATAGTTTACGTCAATAAACTAAAAATGAAAATCTATAGTTTACGTCACGTATATTATAAATTTCCAGCACTGGCAGTAAATTCGGAACACGGTCTAAATGGATAGTTAACCTTTAATTACGCATTGTCAATAGATAACGAAACGATTTATAACACATGGCTGTCATCAATAAATAACTTTAAGATATGTTATGATGCTCCAAGTAGCACACATTCGTTTTATACATATTTTATATATACGTTTCTTAAACGTATCCAATATTTTTTAATCGTAAAACATTAATAAGAAACGTTTTTATAGAAACGCTTTTAAAACCATAGTTAAGGAAACGTATTTTTCACGTTTTTGAGACAAAATAAAAATTCATTTTTATTAATTTCAAATTATATATACACATATATATATACACATACATATACATACATACATATAAACATATATATATATATATATATATATATACAATATATAATTATTACGAAAACTATATTAATTTCTATTTATAAATATATGAATAAAATCACTAACAAGGAAAGGGTCGGAAGTGTCCCCCTCCGATTTTAATGAGCTTTGAATATGTTGTAGTCTAGATCAAAATAGGAGACACGTATTTTTTTATAAGTGCTGAGTCGGCCGTTAAGGGGGTGAAACACCTTCTTGAAAAAAATCGATTTTTTCATTTCTCAGCGGATACCGTCGAAGCGATAAGAGATATAAACAAAAGTTTCAAATAAAAGTTTTATGGTCTTTAATGTACTTCAAAATCATGTAATCAGATTTGTCGAAAATGTCATATTTTTCGAAATCCCCCCCCCTCCCTTTTAATGTTTGAAAATTTTTAAATTTGTCTCATAACAAAACTTATAGCTCATTTAACGACAAATTCAATCATATATAATAAAGTTGTATTCCGAAGTCATTATATATATGTATATGGAAATATTACATAAAATACCGTACATAATTATTGCATACAAGAATAACAAATATTCATGGTTGATATCGGTTACAAAGATGATGATCATGAAAGAAATGATTTATACAAAGGGATTTTTTACACCATGCGCAAGAAATTACAGCAATTTCACCGCAAATATCACATGTTGGTTTTAAATTAGTTTTGAAACAAAAATCTACTGGTGTATCAAATTCTTCTGGTTTCTTTTCTAAATAACCACTTTTATACCATGCATATTTGAATAAATTTTTAAACCTTGGTGATGAAAATTGATTATGTGTTAATGATTGTAATTTTAAAATATTGTTTCTTGAATGAAGCTTGACGTCAAGATCTAAAAGCATGATGGTATCTGAAAAATGTCTAACAAAATTTTTCCATAAACGAAAACCGAATACATCTAAAGGTTGTATTTTTCCCGTTGCTCCAGCTGGTATAGTTAACAAATTAATATTGTCTATAAAATCTGGTTTGTTTCTTTGAATTATATCAGGACAATGACCAGTCCAAGAATCTAATAATAACACTGATTTTGGTCCAACATTTGGAAAAAACACTTCTTTTATCCAGATCTCAAAATGATGCGATGTTAATTTTCCAGATTTTGATGCCATGACAAAGATATTATTATCTTTAAACATTGTTTCTTTTACTATTGGACCAAATGTTCCAGTAGGTTCTTTTAAAACAATAAACAGAGGCGATAATAATCTACCATCAGCTGAAACAATAGGTTGTATAGTATAACTATGTGTAGTTGCTGATATGGATTGTACTATGCGCTCTACTTTTTTAATACCAATAGGTGATAGTGAACGACCGGAATGAAATTCTAATTGAAATCCACTTTGGTCCGAATTATATACATTTTCAATTCCATATTGTATAATAGAAGATTTAACATTTTCGATAAATGACTTGCTTCGTGCTTCTAAATCTTTGTCTGACGCTAAATTTTTTTTTGTTATAAATTTTGTAATTTTTCTAGATACGATATTATGTGCAAGCTTAAACCTTTTTACCCATGATAATGATGCTGTAAACCCAAGTAGATTTACTTCCTTCTGTGCGCGAAGAGCCCATCGAGCAATATCAATGTCATGAATAATTATTCCCTTTTCAATACCTTCATGGAATTTATTTAACGTATATGTTGAAATTTCTTTCAGTTTATCAAATCTGTTGCCACCTTGATTTACTTGCTGCTCCCATCTTCTTAATTGACGTAATGACGTGACTTTCCGAAATCTATTTCTTATAGATGCAAGAGTTCTTGACTTTTTTGTTCCACTTCTCCATAACTCTACTGCATTTCTTTTATATTCTATTGGTACAGAATCCGCAACACATTCAATTTCTTTTACAAAATATGTGTCTTCTTCTCTTTCTTCATCAATTACAGGTTCTACTTCAGGTATATCAAATTCGTTTTGAAAATCTAATGATGATTCTTCATAAACTTCAAACGCTTCTTCATACATTGATCGAAGCATATTTTCCATCATGTCTTTTGTTTCATTTTCATCTGTTGTAACAGGACTTTCTGGGAATTCCCCAGTCATATACAGTGCAGTGTATAGCAGTACTGCTACATTTCTTGGATTAAACATTATCTAAAAAAATTATTAACATTATGTATATTTGTTTTATAAATATTAGCAAAAAAATACTTATTAGCAACAAAAATATTTTATTATTTAATGCGTATTAATAATTTGTTACGTTTTCCGAGTTTCATGAAAAATAGAACAGTTTTATCACATAACTTAAATAAAGTAATAAAATATTAATTATAATTTAAATACATTAAAACAAAACAGATAAACCGCAATTTTGAATGAAGTGTAAGTAAAAGCAAAAAACTATAAAAGTTTTAAAAATCGAAAAAGTACATACATACTGTATTGTTGTGTGCGTGGGGCACAATTGTTTTTTCAGGATAACGGCTAGTCTTGTTAATTAACTCGAGCACTTGTTAATTATTTGATAACTGATTTGTGACTGTCCGCCGCTTCTAGGCGGTGGCTTTTAACGCCTCCGGTTCTGAACGATTATCGGAGGAGGATCGCGCGGTGGCATGACCAAATAAAATCATTGGTTATTTCTAAAGTGGCGTGATCAAAATGCAAGCGAAGGAAGTCCGAAGACTTCCTCGCATTTTATTGCAATTCAGCGCTATTTCGAGAGTGATTTCTTCCTCTGTTTGATGACTTGGCCGTGTGATACTGGCTGTATCAGCACTTCGGGCAGCTGACTTTCTTATCGCGACGCATTTTTTCGCTCGCTTTATAAGTTATAATCCTTTTAATTATTTTCTTATATATATAAATATATTTACTATCGCGCTCGCGTATATTCGATAGACGCTTTAATAGTAATATGTGTTCCACTGCACGCAGTTGTTAATAAAATAATATATTGCACCAACTCATTTCGCGAATGCGACATCTGTTTATTCATAGAATTGAATCTATTAACATCGGCATCTGATCAATAATTTTCCTTGTCCGACTAGTTTTATTTTTCATGCATTAAAAACATTACTTTTCCATATAAATTATATGTATATTTATTGTCACATAATATAGACATATATTATAATTATAATTATTATATAATTTATAATTATATTTATAAATATAATTTCTATAATTTATAAAAATATATTCTCATAAATTATTTATTGCTAATTTATGGTTGCCTCTGTGAGTTTGCGAAGAAAAATGACTGTCGCTGTGAATAACGAGCGTCATAAGGCGGATAAAGCGGGCGTATAGTAGTGTATAGGGATATTTTTAATTTATTTCTGAAAAATGTGACTTCGGAATACAACTTTATTATATATGATTGAATTTGTCGTTAAATGAGCTATAAGTTTTGTTATGAGACAAATTTAAAAATTTTCAAACATTAAAAGGGAGGGGGGGGGATTTCGAAAAATATGACATTTTCGACAAATCTGATTACATGATTTTGAAGTACATTAAAGACCATAAAACTTTTATTTGAAACTTTTGTTTATATCTCTTATCGCTTCGACGGTATCCGCTGAGAAATGAAAAAATCGATTTTTTTCAAGAAGGTGTTTCACCCCCTTAACGGCCGACTCAGCACTTATAAAAAAATACGTGTCTCCTATTTTGATCTAGACTACAACATATTCAAAGCTCATTAAAATCGGAGGGGGACACTTCCGACCCTTTCCTTGTTAGAAATATTAATGTCTGTTACAATTGTACTCCGATCATTTAACCAGTAAATTAACTCTTCATTATTCGTGTTATCAATTATCGTATTAAAAGACTTGTTATAATTAAATATGGGTGTACTAAAGTGAGTATCCAGCTCAATAATTTCATCGTAATATTCATCGTAAATAGTTTCATCGTAATATTCATCGTAAATAGTTTCATCGTAATATTCATCGGAAATAATTTCATCGTAATATTCATCGAAATGATATTTTATCGTATTATATTTTTTAATCGTCCAATTGTATGATATGCGATATAAGAATCTAAAAAATATATAATTATTTTACTCATTATAAAACAGTATTTTAACAAAAACAGAAACTTATATGTAGTAAAAATTCGAAATTCTTATAATTATATAATAACTTATTATATAACTTTAAATAACTTATTATATAAAAATAATTTATTATATAACTTTAAATAACTTATTATGTCTTTTTACTTATGATCTTAATTATAAAACTACGTAAAATACATATTATAAAAAAAATACAAATTTGCATAAATCTTTAATGGAAAATTGTTTTTTGGTGAACGGTAGTAGACGTACCCTATAGACGGAATTACATTTAAATATTCAATAGCAAGGGTTTTTCTCAAAATATTATCAAATTTAATTATGCCATTTTCCCACATTGTTAAGTCGAATTTTACAATGTAAGAATAGTCTGGCTCTTGATAGGTCCAATATAGATTTCTTGCTACCCAGTCAATGCAGAGATCATGTAGCTCATAATCAAAGCTAGCTATTTTTGTGATATTATTTTCAGTAATCTCCAATGTCATTAAATCATTTTCTTTTGTCCAATAAATTTTATGTTCTTGGGCACAGTAAGCGACTGATGAGGCCAATTGTTTAACGAGATTATTAATAGTATTTGAATCTAAATCCAATATGTCGATACTAGCATTCGTTACTAATAATAATTTAGGTATTGGATTTTCATGCATAGTCGATACATTGATTAAATCCGAGTAAGGACCAGCAATAACTTCAGTATGTGCACGTACTCGGAAATAATATGTCGTATTAGATTTAAGATTGTGCACCGTGTGCTCCAATGTTGTAGTTGTGATATTTTTATCGTAGCAGATTTGAATCTCTTTTAAGTCCTCCATAACAAAACATTGCACTGTATACTCTTGTATTATTTCATCGGTAAATTCAGATTGGTTCCATCTGTAAAAAAAAATAAAATTTTAGTCATTTTATATTTAATAGAATTATAACAGAATTAACATTTTGATATAGATATGTCGTTGAATTTAAGAAAAAGAGAGAAAAGTAAAAGAATACAAACTGATAATTTAGATTCCTTACCTCAATGTTACAAAAATGTCGTTTACTTTTTCTGTGAATTGACTATCGAATTGTACAAATGCTCTGAGAGATGTTGGCTTGTTTAAACCGCTTTCTAAAGATTTTAAAATCGTACGTATTAACATAATTATATGTAAGATTAAATAGATTATCTCAGTAAATCAGAAAGAATGTGAATTTAATGTGAAAATACCCTGGTAGAAATTGTCTTGCCGGCGCCATAACACTTATCAGCGCAATGGAAGTTTGCCACGTCACAGCATATTTTCAAAAACTGAAAATGTCCACACCAAAACCATAATAGCGGCCGATATATAAATGGCGTAATATTATTATAAAATTAAACAGGCGCAGATTTGAATTTGACTGGGCTTCTAATGCGATCCATACTTGCGCCACGTCAGATGCTCAGACATCTTTTCGCTTTGTCAAAAAAGATAACATTAAAAGAACACAATATACGACACGTGTTTCTTTACTTGCCGCAATGTGGCGATACCAGACTTAACCAAACTCGTATTCAATTTTTTATTAAGTGTATATAAAGGACTGGTACACACATGAGATCTAAAGTATATTTTTTTTTGTGAGTAGTATCGCCAAAAAAAGGATGCTGCTCTCATGTGCACGAGCCATGACTCTCTGATTGTGTGCGAGTAAATCACACGTTTTCTTCTTAATATCACTTTATCAATTTAATTTAGTTTAATTTCTGACAACTGAATTTTTAAAAAAATATTTAATAATGTGGATTTTTTGTGGGATTCCAATTTTTTTCCTTGTTGAATTTCAAAATTTTTTTTCCAGTTTTAGTAATATTTTTAGGCGACTTGGTGCTGTGTGGAAAGTTTTTTATCAATAGTCAAATAGTTCAGTAGTATTTTTTCGTAAAGCAATATTATGCTATACTACAGTAATTCCGCATTTGACCTATGACAATATCTTACTAGAACTATGTTAATGCCATGTTAGTATCACACAAAATTCATTTCAATGTGGCGTCAGCGGCCAAAACGTGACGATTTCGAAGATGGCTCTTACCAGCGTGTTATGCCAGCTCCTTAAGTGGCAGTGTGGCACAGAAACGCTCGATCAAAATTTCTACCAGGGTAAAAGAAAGGAAAAAAAGGTAAAGGAAAAAATAAATAAAAAAGAGTAAAGGAAAAAATAAATAAAAAGTACAAAATATATATTTAACACAATATTAATCTTTAAAAAAATAATATAAGAATTTTTTACGTCATTTAAGATTTGGAAAAGTAATCGTTAATTCATAGCAAAAACGAATAAATAACTTCCAATAAAATAAGAAGTACTTTTCGAAAAATTCCTGTAACTTAAAAAATCAGAAGTATAATATTTGCGATTGCTTTAAAACCAATTAGCAAATTAATAAAATTGACTTTATCTTTAATCATGACAATTTTTATGTACAATGTTATATTTGTATTATGTCTTTTTATTTCTTTTTTGGACAAATTAGAATTTATATTTTTTTCACTGCTGGAAGATGTTTATAGATTTGATTTTCACTCTTTCTTGAATTTAAATTATATTTACTATACACTTTTTCGTCATAGATTATGTTTGGTGCATTAATGTTTGATGCATTTTTTTATAACTTACCGATAGATTCTGGAATAATAGAAATATTTGCAAGTGTAACTTCATCGACTTCTCGCTCATTTCTCACAGTACTATCCGAATGACTCCGGTCAGATTTGAAATTTACTATATGATGATTATTTTTCTCGAACATTGAAATATCCTTCATAAGGCGTAACATACGAAAAGAATTATAAAATGAATATCGTTGAAGCGGTTGTTTCTCGTGCTTTTAATGATAAATTATATAAATTATAAAATTAAACGAAAAATTACCATTCGTTTTTTGTTTGCTTAATAATACTGGTTTGATATAAACCATTCCTAAATGATATATATTTAATGCGATGTAGTTTTATTCATATTGTAAACTCTATTTTTTATATTTTATTTAAAACATATTGTATATCAAACATAACTCATCATATCAAAAAGAAAATCAATCAATATAGGTTAACAACAGTCAATGACCATTTATAACAGCTTTTAGCAAGTAGTAGAAGCGAAAGTGTAGTTCTTTGCAATTATTAAAACAATTTTGTCTAACGATTTGATTCTTTCTTATGATAGGTTAGTTAACTTTTCTTAATTTTACCATAACTTAAATTTTTTTTCAAAAATTTGCCAATATTACTAAAGTTCTATTAATGTTTGTACTTCAAGCATAAAAAAATTAAAAATAGTGTTTCTTTACAGTTATTAAATATTAGTCATAGAAATTATATATATTCTTTTATTTATATCCTTGTCAAGATTTTTCTCGAGTGTCGTTATATTTTTAACAATCAAATCCTGAAAATGATAATATAAACCGATAGTATAAACCGATAATGCCTCGATAAGAATATGTGTATGTAATTGTATATGAATGGATATATGTACAATGAAAATTAATATAAATTCTAGCAATTGTTATCGAATGTATCGTTGATCGAAATATTAACGTTAATAGATACAATTTGAAGAATGTTTGATGAACGATTTTTTTATTAGACAGATTTTCTATCTCGATATTTAAATCTGTTTCGTTATATAATTACCCTTAACACAAAGAAGTGTTGCTAACATTTTAAATTAATTTTTTAAAATAAAATCTACTTAAATCTTACTATATATCAATAAATATTATAAATATTATAAATATCTACAAAAATAAAGAAATTTTAGAAACTGAATAAAAATAATAACATAAAAATCTATTGAAGTGTCATCGTATGTATATATTAATGTAGCGGATAGTAGACAGAAAACTTCATTAAATTTAAAAATTGTTATTTTTGGAAATAATTATTATATATATAATTATATATATACATATATATATATATATATATATATATATATGTATATATAGACAGAAAGAGAAAGAGAGAAAATACATAGTCAAATTTTAAAATATCGTTTTAATTAAATTCATTATACTATATAACATTCATTTGTAAACAATATTTCGAAACTTTATCCATCTGTTTTTACAACATCATATATATTTTTTACTTTTATATTGAATTGTTTTATTTTATCGTATCTTATTATATAGAATATATAATTATATAAGATAGAATATATAACTTATTCATTCATTTTTAGTCACATTACCAGCTAAAATAACATTCAATTGTTTCTTAATCAAGCGAAAAATATATCCTACCTGCGTGAAATTTATATCTGGATACATGGAAATACGTTTTTCTTGAAGGATGTTTAAAGTGTTATCATCCTTTGGCGTGATAGTTGCCTTTGTCAATATTAAACCTTTCAATAAAACACATAAAATTGTTCCAAACATAATTTGCATTTTTAGTAAACGTTTGCACTTAATCGGTTTCCGTTCAACTCTCAATTAATTGTTTTTTTCACTCTACTAATTTTTATGTGTAAATCGAATTGATATTAATTCACATAGACACATATATTTTCGATAAATTCTTTAAAAGTCTGTTTTAACGAACTGCAAGTTATTATCTTCTAATATTATGTTTTTAGATTTCTCTTTATGATCACGATCATAGTATATATCTTAAGATTAAATTAGAGAATTCTTAGTAAGTAAATAATTTCTATGGTACATATTTATTGGATTGTATCGCGAATACAGGAATATAATTATTATTAGCTTTCTTTTTTCATTAGAAGTCAATAAAAAGCTTCCTTTTTTCAATAGAAAAGCAGTCAATAAAAAGATAACCACAATCAAATTACAAACGATCTAAGAAATTATAGAATTATAGATCTTGTAACATTTTCAGCCATATTCAAGCACACGCAGCGTTTAATCGAATTCACTCAATATTTGCTATATCTGTTATTAAATATGTAATTATGACAATTCGTTCGTACGATTGTGTTACTACGTGCTATGTTTTTTAAAATCCACTATTCATACACAATTACACGGTTTCTCTAAACTTCATATAATGCGGTTAGAATCAAACGATAAATAACCGTGGTAGCGTTTGGTTAACGATCACAGTAGTAACTGACTTCGAATGGTCAATCCGATCTGTTACCATGACATTTTATTAGCTCCATTCCGTTTGTAATTTATTTTTTCCGCGAAGATACTCGTTATTTCCAAAGAAATTTAAATCCCTAAGAATTGTTTGTCAAAAAATTTATATATATATAAAACAAAAATAATTCTATATATAAATAAATATATTTATATACATGTGACTGTTTAATAAATTTTATTAAACTTTATCTTATTATCTTCTTATATTAATTTATTTTTACGTAACCTTCTCTTTGGCATAAGAAAAACATTTATTATATAAAAAATATTCTGATTATAAGGAAAGTAATAATGGACTAAAAAAAAAGAGATTTACACGTTTTCTGTTCACACAATGCATTTTGAATCAAGCAATATGTAACACGGCAGCGTTTTTACACAAATATAAATAAATATACAATAAATAAACAATAGCACGTAAACTGTAAAAATAACTAAAATAAATAAAATAATTAATTCTACGAGCTATTATTATCGTTATTTGTACGGAATAATATGTAATACAATAACTTATATAACTTTATAATTAATGTAATATAATATAAATTGGTAAATAATACGGCTCTATGTATTTAAATTGGTAAATAATACGGCTCTATGTATTTAACAACATGATAATTAGGTAAAGAGCACTAAGAGCCTACAAAACGCGGAATAATTTACGCATTGCCATCCGCGTTTTGTAGGCTCTTAGTGCTCTTTACCTAATTATCATGTAATATAATATATTATAATAAGTATTATAGTATTAATTACTGTATTATTTAAATTATACTACTGTAATTTTGTATGTGACAACCTTTATAATATGCACTTATAATGTGCATAAAACTAAATTTTCTCTTTTTCTCGCTACAAATCAATTGCTTTATTTCCAAAAAATTGGGATAAACACGTTAATCACACTTTGTTAAATAATATTGAAAATAATTATGTGATATTAACTGGTCTCCTCCTGTGACTCATTCAGTCCATTCATATATTAAATGATACATTTTTATTTCCAAAAATGTTTTTGTATTGTTAAAGAGACATTCTGCATAAGAATATTTTTAATAATTTCAACAAATGTGTATATAATGTTTTCTTTAAATTGATACACAATAATATATATATTTTCACAAATATTTATAAATTTATAAAAATTTATTCTCTTTAGAAATAATATCAGTACGTACAAAAATTTATATATATAATTTGAAATAGGAAAGAGCTCCAAAACATAATGTAAAAAAGACTTGAAAGAAAATTATAATTGTATGTGTTAATATTTATGAATTTAGAGAATAGTTAATATTAGTTAATACATTAAAGCGCAAATCTTACATAAGATACAAAAATATGCATGTGCATCGAATATTTAATGAAATATTGAACAAACATTCCAATATTAATATCTGTTTACAATTTCTCTATAATTTATTCCTCTATAATTTATTTAGAGTCGTCCCACCGTAATCCGATACTACGAGCGCGGCGAAGCGGTGGGCGGGTCGCTCTCCGAGACATGATGGTGGTTTGCGATATATCGCAATACCGCGCCGAAAAATGACCCGTCCCCCCTTTTCGAGGCGAGAAAATGATGCGCTATCATTTCCACACCACCTTGCGGTAGATAGCATGGTGCGCTTTTTTTATAGTGGTTTCCCCCATAGGCCTATTCCACTCTCAATTTAAAAATTATTCAAAATGCCATTTACTATACGCTGAATATATCGTAAATGTAAAAAATTAATGGACAGTACCTTTACAAAAATTGATTCGTGGTTGAAAATCCCTCGATAAAATGTATTGCACACGTTGATAATGTGATACGATGATAAAATTCTTCAAGAATTCTTTCTTCATCTCGTACACGAAGACGCACTGCTGGACCGGTTATCCCGATATTATGCACGACACTCAGTTTTACATAATTATTGTACAACACGTAAAATTGTACGGCCACTTGGTTTTCGTGCACGCCCGAGAAATGATTCCATGTAAATTGCGGCCGCACGATAAGTATTTTCTTCCGCTAGTCCGTATGCCACAATCATATCCGTATATTCCTGCAGAGTACACTTCATTTTCTCTGTTAATTTACTACGCAAACACAAGATTTTCATTAAAACGTCTTAGCTCTCGCACGCTGTTACCAGACTGCGTACGCCAGCAGCACGCAACTACAGCTGACAGCTGAGCGGACATGTGAGTGTAAGCGTACGTGTGAGTTCGACGCCTGCGCACTATGATTACACTCACATGTCCGCTCAGCTGTAGTTGCGTGCTGCTAACGTACGCAGTCTGGCAACAACGTGCGAGAGCTAAGACGCTTAGTAAAAATCTTATGTTCGCGCAGTTAATTACCAGTAAAAATGAAGTATACTCCGCAGGAATATACGGACATGATTGTGGCATACAGGCTAGCGAGAGAAAATACTCATCGCGCGGCCGCAATTTACATGGAATCATTTCTCGGGCGTGCACGAAAACCAAGTGGCCGTACAATTTTACGTGTTGTACAATAATTATGTAAAACTGAGTGTCGTGCATAATATCGGGATAACCGGTCCAGCAGTGCGTCTTCGTGTACGAGATGAAGAAAGAATTCTTAAAGAATTTTATCATCGTATCACATTATCAACGTGTGCAATACATTTTATCGAGGGATT